TCCTTCCTTCCTTCCTTCCTTCCTTCCTTCCTTCCTTCCTTCCTTCCTTCCTTCCTTCCTTCCTTCCTCTCCTCCTCCTCCTTCTTCTCCTCCTTCTTCTTAACATAAGGCTTGGAAACTTGGGCACCAGGTGGCAGCCAAGGTCCCTCTAAGTTCCCAGAGCACTGTGCTGTGTAACCATAGAGGGAGTCCTGCAGATCAGCTGGGGCCACGGGCCACCCTTCAAAGTGAGCCAGCCAATGTAGACAAGGCCAACTGGGGTCTTAGAGGCCCAGATGCTGATCCCAGGCCAAGCAGCTGCCTACTAGGTGAGCATGGTTAACCGAGCTTGTGAAGGCCATGGAGCCCATGTGGGATGGTAAACACATGCATGGGCCAAACAACTCTCAGGCCTCCCTTGAAAAGCAAACAGTACAAAGCCACTGTAATCAAAACAGCCTGGTATTGATACAACAACAGGCATATAGATCAATGGAACAGAACAGAGACCCCAGAAATAGACCCACGCCATTATGGTCAGTTAATATTTGACAAAGGAGGCAAGAGCATCCAATGGAGTAAAGACAGTCTCTTCAATAAGTGGTGCTGGGAAAATTGGACAGATACATGCAAAAGAATGAAACTAGATGGCCAACTTTCACCATACACAAAAATAAACTCAAAATGGATAAAAGACTTAAATGCAAGTCACGAAACCATAAAAATCCTGGAAGAAAACATAGGCAGTAAAGTTACAGACATCCCACATAGTGGACTTTTCACTGATACATCTCCCAGGGCAAGAGAAACAAAAGAAAAAATAAACATATGGGACTACATCAAACTAAAAAGCTTCTGCACAGCAAAAGAAAACAGCCTCAAAATACAAAGGAACCCCATGGTCTGGGAAAACATATTTGCCAAGGATGTATCTGATAAGGGGCTAATTTCCAAAGTGTACAAAGAACTCATTCTACTCAGCAAGAGGAAGACAAACAACCCAATTAAGAAATGGGCAAAGGACTTGAATAGACACTTCTCCAAAGAGGACAGACGGATGGCCAAGAGATACATGAGGAAATGCTTGACGTCGATAATCATCAGAGAGATGCAAATTAATTCCACAATGAGGTGTCACTTCACACCTGTCATAATGGCTCCATCAACAAATCAACAAACAACATGTGCTGTCGAGGGTGTGGAGAAAGGGGAACCCTAGTACACTGCTGGTGGGAATGCAGACTGGTGCAGCCACTATGGAAAACAGTATGGAGGTTCCTCAAAAAATTAGAAATGGAGCTGCCGTTGGAGCCAGTGATACCACTCCTAGGAATGTATCCTAAGAATCCTGAAACATTAATCAGAAAGAATGTTCATAGCAGCACAGTTTACAATAGCTAAGATCTGGAAACAGCCCAAGTGCCCATCAGTAGATGAGTGGATAAAAAAGCTGTGGGACATTTACACCATGGAATACTATGCAGCTATAAAGAAGAAGAATCTCGTACCCTTGGGACAGTATGGATGGACCTGGAGAATATTATGCTAAGTGAAATAAGCCAGGCAGCGAAAGACAAACATCACATGATCTCGCTTATACGTGGAATCTAAAAAACTTAATAAACTGATGAATGGAATAGATTCAATGACATGAAAGCATAGATGAGACTGACGAATGTTAGAGGGATGGAGGAGGGTGAGTGGGTGGAGGGGGAGAGAGCAACCAAAGAATTTATATGCATATATACACAACCCAAGGACACAGACAATGGTGGGGAGAGGGACTGGGGAGGGGGAAGGGACGGGGTGGAATGGGTCATTGGGGAGAAAAAGGCACATCTGTAATATTTTAAACAAAAATAAAAATTAAAAGAAAAGAAAAGAAAAGCAAACAGGATGCCTGTCGTAGCTGGGCCCAGAGATCTGGGCACCATAGGGCTTACTGTCCTGGAAGTAGAGGAAGGTGCAGACTCATGGAAGACCTAGTCCACACTCATTGTCAAGGGGGCCCGAGGGAAAGGGGCTCCTACTTCTGGCCAGCATGGAAGAGCAGAGGCCTCCTAACATTAATCCTAGACTTACTTTCCTGGGAACCCTGGGAACCCACACCAAAACCAGGAGGTAATGTTCAGACTTTTGATGTTGAAGCCTTGGTGCTTTCCTCCTCAACACATGGGGCAGGCATTAACTCGTTAGAAATATCAGCTACCACTTGTTGATGTAATTCCCACTCAAGGAATAGGAATAGCACAGAACAGGGCCAGAGTTTAAACCCCATCCTGCCCAAATCCAAAGCCAACACCCTCAGTCTCTGCCTGCCCTGCTTCATCACGAGGACAGGTTAGATCATAGGTTAAAAGGGGGACAGGGTGGGGTGGGATCCATCAAAAGCTCTGAGTGCCTCACATCCAAATCCCCATGGTCTAGCATAGTTCCTGGCATGCAGGATGTACTTAATTTGTTGAAAGATTGAATAAGTGAATGAATGAATGTTGAAGATGTGGTTTGGGCCATCCTTGGTTGGTCAAATTGTCTGGGTTTTCTGGAAGAGGGGACCTACTAGAAAATAATTTGCTGTCTCTTCTGCTTCTGGAAAATTATTATTTGAAATCAGAACTCCTCAGACACCTTTGGGAGTGTGGCAGACAGCCACAGTCCTGAATAGAAATTAGGTGGGAAGCTCTGATTTGGGGCCAAGCAATAGTCAAAGTTGGTCCTCCCTGGGCCTGTGCATCTGGAATGATCCAGGTGTTAGCTGAATTCATCCTGATACCCAGGATCACAGTATCCCACAGGTCTCACTCCTCCAGCATGTCCCACATGGCTCCTACACAGTTGGGTCTCAATATAGGCTGATTATCTTCTTGGGCACCTATTGCTCAGATCATTGGATCTCAGATAAGGAAGGAACCTCATTGGGTCCATCCTCTATGTGGTGACCTTGAGAAGGAGCCCTGCAGACCTCCAGCTACAGGGAATGTCATTGAGTGAGGGTCCCAGCTGCTGTGTTCTGAAATCCATGTTTGTGCTGAGGTCACACTTCCCATGGGCAGCCCCCAGCCCATTATGGAGTGGGGTAGGGATCCTGAGGCAGGCCCATCCTGGGGGGTGTCGGGCTCCTCTGATGGACAACTTGGCTGGAGGACTCTCAAAGATCGTGCTGAACCTTCTAGATCATGCACAGCTGTTTAGGATGCTTCCACTGGCCTTTCTTCCCTCCCTTCTCCACTAGGGGTCAGACTTGCATCAGAGTCTGATGACTCTCCAGTCTTTTTCAGCTCCCTCCCTATTTTCTCACAGGTGTCTTGGTATGGCTCTCAGAGGACATGCTGCCTCTCTGCAGGGTTGTACCTAAGTCATCCCCAACAAATGGGTCTCAGTCATACTCTAAAGCTATGTGAGAAGACAGACCTACCATCTTCCTCCATCACACATTTGGGCACCTCACACCTTTTACCTGCAAGAATGCATCTGCAGGTCCAACCTAACTCCCTCCTGCTGCGATATAAGCCCAGACACCCCCATGAAGGAAGAGAGCTGGGCAAGGCGTGGCCCAAGTGAAGCTGGTACCTACTTCGTCCCCCAGACAGGCCTCGATCAGTAGGCCCCAGAAGTCTGTAAAGTTGACCTTGTAGCCTTCCTGACTGCGCTGCCGGAGCTCCTCCCGGAATTTGCGGAGCTGGTCTGGGAACAGGGCAGGCATCTTGTCCTTGACCACGTGCCTCCGGGCCTCAAGGATGGCAGGCTCCAGGTTTTTGGAGGACCAGTCAGGATCACGGTATAAGGTTGCCATGGTCCTGGAGAAAAACAAGCATAGCCGATAGAGTTGAGCCAGCCCTGGTCCTATCAACCCCAGGCCCTGGCAGGTTTCATGGGAAACCCCAACCTGCCAGGAGAGGAGCCTGGAGCAAGTGGGATAAACATGATTACACACAGTCACGATTGCTACCATTTCTTGATTGCCTGTTGTGTGCCAGGTGTAGCATGTTGCTTAAGAATGAGGATTCTGGACCCAGATCTTCCTGGGTTCAAATCCAGACTCTACGATTCACTAGCTATGTCATCTGGGGCAAGTTACATAATCTCTCTTCACCTCAGATTCCCCATCTGTGGAAAGGGGAGAGTTAAGGTAATTGTTTTTATCTCCCAGAGTTATTATGGAGATTACATCAGTTAATACAATGTGACATGGTTGGAAGAAGCACCTGGCCCAAAGTAAGTGCTGGGCCTTGGGGTGGTGGAGTATCATTGGAACCCAGGCTCGGCTAATTCCACATCCTGGAATGTTTCTACTCTCCCACACTAACTCCCACAATTATGATGCTGGCTAAGGATTTGTTTCCCTTCTTCTTAACTTCCATGTGGGCAGTGGGGAGCAATAAAGCAAAGATGGGGTCCCCCTGGCCCCAGGTCTTTGTCCCTGCTGCCTCCTCTCGGCCTGGACCCAGCTTTCTGCCTATGTGAGGACAGAACCCGGGACCGGCCACAGTGGACCTGTACAGTTAGCTGTCTGAACAGTGGCCTCTTCCTTCATAGGACTCGTTTCTGGTCAGGGAAGGTGGAGGTTGGTCAGGAGATTTCTTCAACATAAAGCAGCCTGCTCTCCATAAGGTTCACTCAGTTACTTTTATACTTTTTAAAAAAATTTTCAAAACCATCACAAATAATTGGTTTTAAAATAATCTTTCCCAGTGCTTTCCTAGGCCAGGTACCCGCCCTCCGCCACAGAAGCAGGTTATCTCCTTAACCTACTACCCATGGGCAGCCATTTAACAGGGAGCTTAAGAACCTGGGCCCTGGACTCTCACAGCCTGGGTTCAAATCCCAGCAATACCACTCAGCTGAGTGGTCCTGGGCAATTCCTTTGCTTCTCCAGCTATCAAATGAGCAGAATGACATCTCCCTTATAGTTTTCTCATGAAGAAGCAATGAGATGATCCATTGGAAACAGTCACACCAGTGCCTGGCACAGAGGTGACCCTGATAACTGTCGGCTGTTCCTTCTATATCCCACCTGGGCTGGAGCCTCAGGGCCCCTCATACCCCAGGAGTCTTGGTTTTCCTAGGGTGAGCTCACATCTACTCGCCCAAATGAAGGTCACCCAGAGTGCCTCCAGGGTGGGGGCAGCAGCTTGGGACCTCGAACACTCAGAGGCCCACCAGCTGCAGACAGCATAAGACACTGGCCTGGCTGAGAGAGAGGCCTTGGATGATCAGAGGGCTCTGGCCACACTGGACCGGGGCTGTGTTATGACTTTGGTGGCCCTTTCACCATCAACATACTCAAATTTTTGTTTTATGACTGTTGTATAAAGACAAATATTATAATAGTCTTTATTAAAATATTGTCTTCAACCTAGAAGTTCATTTTTTTCTTCTGATCTGAAAAGAAAACATTTTTGTGGGCCACTACAAGGACTGTGGGACCTAGACATGGTGGCTCCTGTGGAGAAGCCGACCTCATGCTGGTCTCACTTGGGGGAGCCCCGTTCTTACTCTTTGCTCATCAGCAGAGTGAGGAGGTGGGAGCCTGAGGAAGCCTACAGGGCAGGATGGGTGGTGGGCTGGAGTGTGGGCAGCCAGAGCAGCTGGCCCAGCTCCATTTACCCTGGGAGACTTGATACCCAGCCCCCCTAGGAGAGAGGGCAGCTTCCTCTCCCCAGCAGGATGGTATCAGTGGCACCAGGAGTTCATTCACAGTTGGCCACCATGCTCCCAGGTCCCTGCACAGCCCCAGGGAAACAGTGACATCAGTAACGACCAACGTGTATGATGTATTTAGTGTCTCTCATGTACTGAGCACAGGGAGGGCCTCTCTAGCAACACCACGAAGTCGGTACTATTATTATCCCCACTTTAGAGATATGGAAACTGAGACTCAGAGCTGAGCTCACACAGCTGTAAGTGGTAGAGCTGCTTCTTACATGGGGGCATGGAGCCTTCACCAGGGACCCAAGGCTGACCCTTCAGCTGTATGCTCTGGGCTCCACCGAACAGTAGCCCCCAGTTCCTTACCAGGTGGCCCCTGACAGGCCAGTGATGTGGCTGGCACAGTTCAGGAGGTTCAGCTTCTGCAGCCCCAGCAGGTGGCCGTACATGGCGGTCATGGATCTTGTTCCACCCCCAGTGGCCATGATGGTGATGAGCGGCACCTGGGCACAGAGAGGCAGGCTGTTCGGGCAGTGCTGGGTAAAGGAGCCTTGGAGTGACAGGCAGGAGCTGAGAAGGACAGTGGACAAGGGAGAGCCGGCTACACGGAGCGGACAGTGGGGCACTGAGGGACCTGAACATTGCCTTTCACAGAGTGACTGGCTACCCGGTAGGTCTGGAATTAGACCTTAGCTCCAAGCCCAACAATTGGTGTCAGTCAAGGGCTCTGAAGATTACACGGGTTTGGTAAGTCAGGGGGTCTTTCTAGCACTGTTAGTCTAGCCCTCAGCTAACACACGAGGAAATGGAGGTACAGGGGTCTGGGGAGTTAGCTCAATAACCCAGCTTATATCTCATTCCTTAATGGTTACAAATTGATTTTCTTCTATAGAGGGATTTGATGTGAGGTGAGGGCATCAGGCCTGGCACATGGTAGGTGCCTAATATGTACCATATGTGTAAGAGCAAGAGGAAGTAAATTTCTGAAGTGGGATGGGGCAGGGTTGTCACCTCTGGGTTGACATAGGTTTACTATATATGCCCTTGGTGTGTTTCCCTAAAGATGAGAGGAGGGGGCTCTTTGCCAAGACTTACTCTGTTTTCATTTGAGCAGAGACTAAGATGCTTCTGTTGGCTAACACCCTGGCACAGCCCTCCTTGGGCACGAGGTCTCCACCCACACCTATGGTGGGCCTCGGAAGGCAGACGCTCGGAGGACTGACCTGCTGTCCAGGGGACTGTGGGCCTGAGTCCTCACAGGGAGGGGGCAGGGCTCTAACAAACGCTCCATTGTCTGTTCCATGGGAAACAGCTGGCCTTGCGAGTGGAAGCTGCTTTCCTCCAGCTTCTGCCCGCTGTTCTTTCTGGGTGTGTGCATGTATGTGCATACTTTGGGGGAAGGAAGAATTGAAAGATGAAAGTCCTAGGGCCTTGTGGGTGAAGGTGTGGGAGGGGGTGGAGCATCACGTGTTTTCCAGGCTTGCAGAGGAGGCCATTCTGTCACCTCAGGATCTTTTAGTGCTCTTTGCTTTCTTTCCCCACTCTGCTCTACCCTCCCCTTGTAAACACAACTAATCGTGCCCAATAGAGCCCTTACCTGGACCTTAGCACTAAGAGCAACCAGCAGAGGCAGCGGCCGGGGCAGCTGGGCAGCAAGGGCTGGGGAGGCAGACGTTAGGGCCTGGTGTTGGAGGGACAAGCTCAGAGCCGGCACTGAGCCCAGGTGGCTCACCTCCGCTTACCCACCTCGTCCATCTGCAGGTCCTCCTCCAGCTGCAACACCTGCTTCAGAGCCTTGGCCACCACCACCTTCCGCTTCTCCAGGAACTCCAGCTCTTCCTGGCACAGGCTGTAGCCCAGCCGCACGTCCAACGTCTGGGGACTATGGGGACAGAGGATCTTGGGTGAGCAGGCCTGCAGACCCCACCTCCATGGAGAAGATGTGGCTTTAGAGTCTCTGCTTCATCTATAAAGTGGGGCTAATTGTGCTTAACTCCCAACTGTCTTCAGGATTTAATGAGATAACAAATGTAAAGGCCCCAAAGCTTTAGATGGTGCATTGCAAGCAGGTACTCAATAAAATCAGGGACTCACTGAGCCCTCTGCCTCCTCAGCAAGATCTGGAAGGTCCAGGAAGGCTTCCCCCAGGCACTTTCTATAGACCAAGGCCAGACATGGTGACAGGGGGCCCTGAGATCCTTCTGGCACTCTCCCTGGACAAGGCTCTACAGTAAGGGCTCTTCTGAGCCTGATATATCACAGGCCCATTCTCCTGGAGTTCACATTCTTCCTTATGCTCTTCCTGCTCCTGGAATAATAATCATCCTATGTGTGTGTGCAGTTGACAAAAACCCTTTACCTCCCTGATGTCACCATGTCACCCCCCAGGTCTGCAAGGCAGGTGGGGCAGAAGCTGCTGTAGTGTGACCAGTGCCTGCCCTCTTTGTATCACATTCCTGTCCTGAACAAGTCCAGGTTTCCAGCCTGGCATCCAAGACCCTACGTGATCTGTCCAACCTCACCTCCAGCTACTTCCTAGGACAGCCCATCGGCTCCCAGAGCTCAGGAGCACTTTTGGTGCTGAGCCTTTGCACAGGCCCTTGCCTTCACTGGACGCTTCCTTCCTCTGCCCACCTACGTCCCTGCATCCTCCAAGGCCCAGCCCCTCAGTGACTCCTTGCAGATGGACCTTGACAATTTCTTGGTTAGTGATCTGAGTCACTAACAAGGTCACACCTCCTTGATGGCAGGGCTGGGAGCTTTTCCCTCACATTCTTCCATGTCTACCATGGGGTGCAGATGCAGCTGTGAGAAAAATAACTCTTTCCTTGACCTCAACAGGCATGGATAACAGAGCAGTGATAATCAGAACACTCGATGATATTTGCTGAATATCACTTGCCAAACTCCCATTGGATCCTCAAAGCAACCAACAATGGTCAGTACTTTTGGTATTGCTTCAACTTACAGAGGAGAAAAACTAAGACTTAGAGGGGTTAAATATCCTAAGGGCAGAGGGATAATCAAATTGGAAATGGAAATTATGATCACTTGATTTTTGACAAGGGTGTCATGACAATTCAATAAAGAACAATCTTTTCCATAAAAATGCTGAGACAAATGGAAACCCACATGCAAAAGGATGAAGGTGAGCCCCTGTGTCACACTATATAAAAATTAACTCAAAATCAATCATAGACCTAACTATGAGAGAAACCACAAAACATTTGGAAGAAAACATGGGAATAAATTTTCATGACTTTGGATTAAACAATGGTTTCTTAAATATGACAACAAAAGAACAAGAATAAAAGAAAAAAACAGATAAATTGGAAGTCACTAAAATTTAAAATGTCTATCCTTTAAAGGACACCATCAAGAATGTAAAAAGATAACCACCAGAATAAAATAAAATAGTTGCAAATCATATATCTGACAAGGGACCTGTATTCAGAATATACAAAGGACTCCTACAACTTAAAATAAAAGGCAAATCACCCACTTTAAAAATGAGCAAAGAATTTGAATAGACATTTCTCCAAAGAACATAAACAAATGGCCAATAAGCCCATGAAAAGATGCTCAGCATCATTAGGCATCAGGGAAATGCAAATCAAAACCACACTGAGACACCACCTCCCAGCCCCTAGGATGAACAGATCAGAGGGACAGTCAGAAAGAGGGTACTTTACCAGGGTGTAGACTTCACGTGTAATTCACAGTTCTCTCCCTGGAACATGAGAGAAAAACTTGTCAGGGGCGATGATTCAGAGCCAAGTGATCCCAACCAAAGAAATGCAGAGTTACCACACTATCCATTCCCTGACTTGACTCAGCTCACATGTGTGCACACATCCGTATGCTCACACGCACGCAGGCACGCACACACACTACATGCTTACACACAGGCATGCTCACATGCACACAGGCACACGCACACATGTCACACACATGCTCCATCCCACACCCTCTTCTGGGCATGACCCCTCATCGTCCTTAACTCGGCCTCCACACACTCTTTGGCTCCACACTGCAGCTCAGCATCTCCTACCCCACCGACTCCTCTATCTGCCTGAGAGACCCCGTGAGTTACCCTCCCCGCCCCGCCCCCAGGCTTTTCCCATATCCCTGCCGCAGCAGCTCCAGGCTAAGCCGCTCAGGCCCCTTCCCAGACCCAAGCCCTCACCGCAGGCAGGGTCACCGCCTGGCCATCAGTGATGCAATCCAGGGGCTGGTTGACAACGTTGTTCCTCTTGTGCGAGCCGCAGCAGCAAAGCTGGAAGGAGGGGTGGATCTGTGAGTGGGGGTGAGGGGCTCCCCTGGCAGCCCACCTGACCCAGTCGCCCACACCACCCCCTCATGCCGCCTTGTACCCCACAGCTCCCTTGGCTTCTGGCCATGTCTACGTGCATCCGGGACTGGAAATACTTGGGGTAGTGGAAGTAGGCAAGGTTTGGGCAGCAGGACTCCAGGCTCTGTGGGATGCGCTGGGTGTGCTCGAAGGACTCTGTCACTGTTACCAGGAGGTCCTTCCCTGGAAGAGAGGACAAGAGGACTGAGACCCCCCAAAAGCCTCTTACTTCCCCCATCCCAACTTGGCCCAGTAAAAAGCATAGCTGGAGGTGCCCAGGACAGGGGTTTAGAATTACCTGGGGCACTGGTTAAAATGCCCCAGAGAGTCTCATTCTGTAGGACAGGACCAGCCCAGGAGTCTGCATTCTAAAAGGCTTGCATGTGAGGCTGACAAATGAGGTCCCCAGAAAACCCTCTGAGATGCTGAGTCCTCCGGACTAGTCCTCCTGGGCTCTGCTTCTCCGGGAGGTGCCTCAAAGTCACCTCCTACTCAGTAAAAGCAGCCTTCACCATACCCCAAGTCTGGGGTGGTGGCCTCTTCCTACCTTCCTCACCCATGTCTGTGGGGCCACACTGCTCCCCTCTCTTGGGACAGGGCTGGAAGTCCTTGCATGGGAGCATGAGGTGGAACGATGAACTGGGGAGTCTTATGTTTGTGGATCTCTTAGGCCTCTGCCAGCTACCAAATGCTAGGACTCTATGAATTGTCATCTGGACAGAGGAAGGGCCCTCTGGGCCCTGGGCATTGTTAGTGCCCGCCCACCCCAGCGCTGACCACTGCACCTGGTCAGATCCAGCAAACCCCTGGTGTGGCAGGAGTAGGGTGCGGACCACTATGGGTAGCACTGTGCCACTGACCCCGACCCGGGGTGCTCGTCACACCGGAGGCTCTGAGGGTCATGCAGGTGCCTGAAAGAGCACGTTCCTTATAGAGGGGTGGGGGTGGGGTGATAGGGGTTCACAACCCCTGGTCGTGAGATGATCCGAAGGCACCTCCCACCAAGCTCTTGGCTCCTCAGCTGAGCCCAGGGCAGCCCTGGAACAGCCAGTTCTGGTGCTGGCAGGGTTGGGAAGCAGCCCTCCCCCCAGCAGGCAGAGGCAGCCAAAGGACCCACTTTTCCTATTCTTCCTCTGCCTTCTGGATTCTGCATGAACCTCCAGGCAGGAGACTTGTCGAGCCTGCAACAAAGAAGCCAGGGTCATCCCAAGCACAAGCCATGCCCCACTCTGTGTGACCTACCTGGGAAGCTGGGGGCAGGGGGCGGAACTGCATTTTCTGAACCTAAGCAAGTCCTGTCACCTTACTCAGAGATCAAATATTTGAAAATGAAGATCTCCTGAAAAATCTGGGGCTCAGCTCTGTCAGGGCTCATGTTCTCAGTGCAGATCGGGGGTGAAACCCGAGGGAAACTTCCTCTTTGGGCTTTCAAAGAGAGTAACTTCCAATGGAATAGCCTTCTCAGGAAGCAGAGGTGGGTCAAACTCCTTTGCCACAAACTCCCAAAGACTGACTTTGGGGGAGAGATTTTGAATCCCGGGATTTTCGATGCATCTAATTAAAATGGCTATATCAACAGCTGAATTATGAAACTCTTTCTAATACTGAACTTGTTCTCATAGAGAGATTGGGGTTGGGGGGAGATGGGACTGAGATTGATTCTGGGAGAAGGCTGCCTCCTAGTGGGCTTTTATTGGGGAGGTTCCCAGGAGGTATCATCTTGAGGGATATGGGATGCAGGGCCAGGGTGACTGATGTCCCAGCTACCCCAAGCTGGGCCTAATGTTCTCTCCCACAATCTGTTCTCCTGAGAGCAGCGGCCACATGTGGCCTCTGGAGTTACGGGAACCTGAAAGGACAATTACCACCAGCACGCCATTGGTGATGAGGGTCTCAGGTGGAGAGGGACTGGAAAACAAAATGAGAACTCTTGGTCAGTTATGTCACTTCTGATTTCGCACAAAGGTGACAAAAAGCCGAAACAGGGTCAATAATGAGATAGCAGAGCCTCCTGGTCCTCATGAAAAATATTGGCTTAAGAAACCTCAGGTGTATAGATTGTCAAGGAGAAAACTGGCCTAACATTTTAAATAGAACGTCCAGAAAAAAATAGATTTACAGGTTAGAAGGAGTAGAAGAGGAGTTTCTTTTCTTTGTCCTTAAAGAATAACTGTTCTTTATGTCCAACCAGACGAAGCACAGCGTTATGAGGCTAAACAGGCTGCAGGAAAGCCCAGGCCACCACCTAGAGCAGATGTAAACAGTTTTGGTAGAGAAACTGACCCATTCTCTGTTCTGTGCTTTATTTCATTTATGCGTTTAAGAAACGGTTCTGACCCAGGCAGAAAGAGGCCTGGTGAACAAGAAATGTCCTTGTGTTATAAAGCCCAGAACATAAGTCTCCATGGTCACACTTAGCAGTTCACCTAAGCCCAAGATGACTGTGTCTTCAGATCAACTCTTAGTACCAATTTTGACATATTTCATGTTGCAAGCCGCTTTCTAATTCAGCCAAGGATCCTCCCC